GAAAGAATTGCGATGCATTCGGAAAATCTCAGAATCGATGCGGAATCATTTCTCGATTCGCGATGCATCGATTTATTTTCCCAGCCCTACTATATACACACTGCTTAGATTGACTTTTAGAAGAATATGTAATTATGTGCTGTGCACTTTGACAGCGGAGAGAAAACAGCAGTTAAGAAAGCATCTGATCATAGCAATGTGTATGTTTGCACCATGTTTGCAGTTTGGTACTCCAAGCATTAAGTCACATCACAATTTTTTTTTAATAGCACTTTATACAATAGACTGCTTTAAAGCAAGCAGCTTTACAGTATTAAACATGGAAAAACAGTGTCAGCGTCGCTTTCAATTAAAATTACAACTTTAGTTTCTACTGTAAATCAGCTTGTCAGTTTGTTCATGTTTTCAATCACGGACATCTGACATTGACGGACTAAACAGAAGAAATGTACCAGAGACGGTTTCCACATCAAAGAAGGCGGAGCCACACCCACTTATTACATAATCGCCGCAGACCAATGGGAGTTTGAGGGTGTTTACTAGCTGATGCAAACTTATCCAGAAAATGTTTCAAACTCCAAATGAACTCAGTTTTGGTCTGCTCTTGTTTGAAACCACTTCACACCAGTTCAATCTTTAGTTTCACTTGAAGTACAGTATTTCAGACCTTTAGACCAGTGTGTGTGAGTAGAGGGTTGTAGTGTTTAATATGCTAGAAGAGAGAGAACAGCAATAATTACAAGAGATTTTGGATGGAATGGAGTGTCTAAAAAGAAAATATATTGACCTTATCTTCAGTATAGGGTGAGCTCTCTGTCTCTCGCTCTGTTTACGTTCATTCAGTCGATATCTGCTAGACGGCATGCATCTAATCAAGCATCATAGCATCAGGATCGATACCAACAACACACACCCCCGTCTGCCCTCGTTAATAAAACACATCCTACACATCTACATGTGGAGCAAACGCTTCACATCACAGCAGTCTTTAGTATTGAGGCCAGAGCGGTTACTGCGCTCATATCCAGTCTCTTTACTGTGAACTTCGTTTGGATCCTTTAAAACTTGTTTTGCTCTCATGCTGTTCTCAGAATTCAGATTTGCATCAGAGCTCCTGTCACTCTGCAGTGAATTATGAACAGCAAGAAACTCACTCTGAGTAATAGCATGCGTGAAGGAGGAAAGTGGGGACAAAAGGAAAGGTTTTATGTGAGCTTGATGTTTGTAAGTAGCAGGCTCACAGGAACGAAGACAGCGAATGGATTTTATAATCCCAAGGAAAGTTGTGACTTCTCCGACTGCCTCCGTTTGTTTCTGATGAGGGAATCTCAAGTCTCAAGTGTCTTTTAAACTTTAAATCTCTGCTTAAGATATCGTAAAGATACACAAACACTGATTTTCACATTAATACATTAACTTTTTTCTTAAAGTGTTATGCCTAAGCATATACATTTTTACATATAAATAAATATACATTTAAGCACATCAGGAAGACTGAATTAATCATGAGTAAAAATATGTCCGGGTATTTCTACAGTGGCATCAGTAACTGTTTTGTTTTGCGTGATGCTGCATCCACATCTTTAAAAACCCAGTTTTATTAGAATATGTTGTAGAATTAACAATAAAGTATTGAAATTTTAATTGCAATCTCTGAGTATTTGCGGTATTGAATATTCAATTCAATTTCTAGGACTTTTTAAAGTAAAAAACTAGAACTAAATAATAATAATAATTATATTATTATTATTATTAGTAGTATTATTAAACAATATAATGAGTAATATAACATGATTACATGAATTAACAGAAATTATAACAAATAATAAAGGGACACAATCAATCAATCAATCAAACAGGCCATAGGAGTCCTATTTATTTATTTATTTAAATAATAATGATAGTAATAATATAATTTTAAAGGGGTCATATGATCTACCTCACTATGTGGAAAGATTTGCATAACGCCGCCCAAATGTTTACGCAGAGAAAGAAGGCGTAACTGTAAACCGCATAAACACATTTCATTGCACCAAATACAAAAAATAATGTTATTTTTAGCAACATCATATGACCCCTTTAATTAATTTTCTACTAAGGAAAATACTTTTTTATGTTCACAATACTGCTGCCATTACAATCACACCAAACGTTTTAGAAAACAATTGTGCAAAACAACTTCTTTGAAGAAAGTTTGAAGATCAGAAAAAATTCTACCTCGTGATCTGAAGCAGTCATGACAGAACCAGTCAGTATTTAACTTGTGTTGACTGCTGGTGTCTGTGTTTTACGTCAATAAAGGAAGGTTGCTCAATCCCAATGATCCGAGTTTATTTCAGGGTAGATTTTCAGGAGTCTTTCAGTAAGTCGCACTGGATAGCTGGCCAATCACAGCACACCTCGCTTTTTCAGACCGATGAGCTTTGTAAAAATCAACGCGTTTCAGAAAGGCGGGGCATAGAGGAGAAACAATAATGTACAGTATGTGGAAAATAATGTGTTTTTTTAACCTTAAACCGCATAAACACATTTCATTACACCAAATACAAAAAATAATGTTATTTTTAGCAACATCATATGACCCCTTTAATTAATTTTCTACTAAGGAAAATACTTTTTTATGTTCACAATACTGCTGCCATTACAATCAGACCAAACGTTTTAGAAAACAATTGTGCAAAACAACTTCTTTGAAGAAAGTTTGAAGATCAGAAAAAATTCTACCTGGTGATCTGAAGCAGTCATGACAGAACCAGTCAGTATTTAACTTGTGTTGACTGCTGGTGTCTGTGTATTTACGTCAATAAAGGAAGGTTGCTCAATCCCAATGATCCGAGTTTATTTCAGGGTAGATTTTCAGGAGTCTTTCAGTAAGTTGGTAAAGTCTCAGTGTGTTTTCTCTGGTCATTAGTGTAACATTCGGTCAGTCTTGTTGTGAGTCTCTGCATCACTACATTTGGCCTCCATTTTATCCAGTCCGTCTCTGCTGTCCTTGCTGCTTTTTACTCTGTTTCTGTTTTTATTCGGTTTGGAAACACTTGCTTTCAGTGTCCAGATCTCATGTCTGAGATGCATGATGTCCTTATTTTCTCTCAGGGACACAGTGTATGTTTGTTGTGAAGTAGGAAGGAATACAGAATGAATAATGCATCATTCATGTGTTTGTCCTCCTGTTGCACTGAGGGGATGTTTCTGTCGATGGGTTTGAGAGCTGCTGTGACTGTAGGGAGTGATGGAGGTCTAATCCAGGTGGATGCTGCACACTGGTGGTGGATGAGGAGATACCCCCTGACAATGTAAAGCGCTTTGAGTGCCTAGAAAAGCGCTATATAAATGTAATGAATTATTATATTATTATTATAATCCAAGGACTTGTTTATTGTTTAGACACAGTCGCCGCAAGGCTGGAGGAACAGTGTGCTTTAAACTGAGCTGCTGGAGTAGAGCTGAGTCTGATGTGGACTGAAGGAGAAAACTGCTAAAACTCTGCCATGTGTTAATATCATGCCAATCTGTCTTCAAACCTATTTCCATTTTTTTTTCTGTTCCTTGATTAATCATTTATTATATTAATACTAAAGTGAAAGTGAAAGTGAAGTGACGTGTGGCCAAGTATGGTGTCCCATGCTTGGAATCTGTGCTCTGCATTTAACCCATCCAAGTGCACACACACAGCAGTGAGTAGCGAACAAACACGCGCACACACACACACACACACACCCGGAGCAGTTGGGGGTTTGGTGCCTTGCTCAAGGGTCTCACCTCAGTTGTGGTATTGAAGGATGAGAGAGCGCTGGTTATTCACTCCCCCCACCTACAATCCCTGTCAGACCTGAGACTCGAACCTGCGGCCTTCAGGTTGCAAGTCAGACTCTCTATCCATTAGGCCACAACTGCTTTAATATAGTAATAGCAATCAAATTCTATAATAAAAAGAAGATATAATTATTGTTATTATGTAGGTTGCCAACATTTTTCAATGAGAACAAAAATAAAAGTTATTATTATTATTATTATTATTATTATTATTATTATTAGTAGTAGTAGTAGTAGTATTATATTCAGTTTTCAGTCACCCTATAAACATAAAAACAACAATGGCAGGCTATTTATTTATTTATTTATTTATTTAACAGTCAATTGCTATAATAATATTTTAGTAGTATCAATCAAATTGTATAATAAATAATACAATTATTATTATTATTATTATTATTATTGTTGTTGTTGTTTATCACCATCATCATGCAGGTTTTTCATGCTAATATTTTTTATTAAAAACAAAAATAAAAACAACAATGACCGGATTGATTGATTGATTTATTGATTTATTTAATATCAGTCATTTGCTATGTTAATATTTTAGGAGTATCAATTTAAATTGTTTAATAAATAATACAAATATTATTATTATCGTTATCATGCAGGTTTTTTTTTCATGCTAATATTTTTCATTAAGGGATCCGCACTCGCTTAATCTTCTTAATCACTTTCAATTTATTTAAATTTTGCAACAGAGCAAACAACAATCAGACGTTTCCTACAAGAGTTTTTAAAGTTTTTTTTTTTTTGTTCTCCTACAAGGGAGTAAAAGACTCTTGTAGGAAACGTCACTATATGATTCACTGAAGAAGGCTTGCTGCCGAAACGTCTGATTGTTGTTTGCTCTGTTGCTAAATTAAAATAAATTGAAAGTGATTAAGAAGATTAAGCGAGTGCAGATCCCTAGAATATGATGTTGCTGATTGATCTACGCACCCAAGACTAAAGTTGAGCACAGTGAATTTTATTTTTTCATGAATATTTTTCATTAAAAAAACAACAATGGATGGATGGATTGATTGATTGATTTTTATGTGTGTATGTATGTTTGTATGTATGTATGAATGTACGTTCCTTGATTAATTTAATGTTGATCATTTAATATAATATTTCAGTAATTTCAGTCTAATTGTATAATAAATAATAAAAAGAAAGCTCATGTTTCTCCTGTCTCTCAGCACACTCCGTCCAGACGCAGATATGGATGGCGTGTTTCAGAGGGAAGGCTTCGGCCGGCAGAGCATGTCAGAAAAGCGGACCAAACAGTACAGCGATGCCGCTCAACTGGAGATCATCACGAGTCGCAAGTCGAAGAGTATGGACCTAGGTAAGCTCACGCTCAACACTAGCACTCCCCAAACCACTTCCTGTGCCCTGCCTCGCTGCTTCCTGTTCCTTTGCAATCCAGCAGCCGGGGTGCGAATGCGAGCGCAGCGCTTGACGTTAAAGCTAACCGTTTCAGACACAGTAATGACTTCACCAAACTTAAAAGAGCACAGAGAGTTTTTAAACATTAAAAATGATGGCAAAAACAGACTTTTTGCATCCCTTTCTCTCCTAATTAACATATTTATCACTCATCTCTCAGAGTAGGCCTTCAGCTCACCTCTGAGGTGGGTTTGAGGGACTCAAGGACAGGTCAGGGTTGTTGAGAGCGAAGCGGCCCGTCTCAGGAGACGCAGAGCTTCTGCCGCATGGCCGCGCGGCTAATCGGAGGAGATAAAACATCGCTTTCATCCTCCTCCTCCTCCTCCTCTCTTTATCCTCAGCCAACATCAAGACCAGCACCTCCTGAGACCGGACCAAGCCCCGCTCGCTCAACACCAGTCTAAACACCCGAGACACGTCTCGCCCTTTACACTTCACTAGCAAAAGTGGAAGGTGATATAGCACTTAAACACATAGAAAAAGAGAGAAGGGGATGTCTTTTGGCAGCAGATAAGACCCACTTCAGTGCCTCATCAAGCTTTAACTGAGTTCGACTCTGGATGTGAGAGTTGAGGTGTATCACACGCATCAGTTTTGGTGTTCAGATGTTACACGCATAAAGTACTGTACACACTAACCACAAATATACAGTGGTTTTTGGATACTTAAAGGGTTAAAGATGGCACAAACTGAAGGTAGTTAGTATTTAAGAACATACTTCTCAAAATTGAGACAAAAGTGTTCGGACTCTTTTGGGATGATGTCTATACTTAATGTGATGAACTACATTAGAAATGGTTACTCTGTTAAAATTTAAAAAATAAGAATAAGAATGACATTTAGAATAAGAGTAAGAATAAAAAGATGAATATCATTTAATAATATTTAATAATTTAATAGTTACCTAGTAATTCTAAAAACAAAAATACATAAAATAATTAGGATAGTTATAAAAATCAAAATTGTTTATCTTAAAATCTTGTTTTATGTATAATTATGTGACATTTATATATATGGTGATGTTATTTAAATTAAATCAGAATATTTCGGTTTCAAATAGATGCTGTTTTTCACCTTTCTATTTGTCAAAAATAAATAAATAAATAAATAAATCACGGTTTCCACAAAAATATTCTGCAAATATATTCACAAAAATATACATTGATAATAATCAGAAATGTTTCTTGAGCAGCAAATCAGCATATTAGAATGATTTCTGAAGATCATGTGACACTGAAGACTGGAGTAATGATGCTGAAAATTCAGCTGCGCATCACAGAAATACATTACAGTTTAACATATATTCAAATAGAAAGCAGTTATTTTAAAATATACCATTATATTACTGTATTTTTTCATGAAAGACTTCTTTCAAAAATCAATAAAATATCTTACAGTCCCCAAAATTTAAATGTGTAAATGAATGAATGAATGAATGAATGAATAAATAAATAGCTGCCTTTAACAGAATCTGAGAAAGTCTGAGAAATGTGCTTATGTCTTCCCCAGTTTTAAATAAATAAATGGAATGCGTTTAGAGCAGGACAGATGTGGCCGTCATTTCAAACGAGCCCCAATTAAAGCCCTCTCCTCTCTACTCATCAGAAGCACATTTCAATTGCACCAAATCTCCTGTGCTTTGTTCCGATGAGCCATTTTCTTCAAATGCCATTTCTGCCTTCAGGTTGAGTATATATTTTTGCTCCTCTCAGGCTTTTAGAAGAGCACAATCTCCAGTAACAGTCTAAAGACAGAATTGAGAGCCAACATGGGGGACATTACAGGAAAAAAACAAAAACTACCCTATGTATGATGTAAGACTTACACCAGGTTACACCTGGTAGATGGAGCTAAAACCACCTAACTCATATATCTGCCCAATGCTTTTGAATGTTATGGCATGATAATTCATTCAGTTCTGTCCTTCTCTCTCACCATCTCATGGGTTTTCCCACTTTGACCGTCTGCCTCTGTCTCACGTCTTGTCTCACTTTCACAGAGTGATTTGCATGCCTCTTGGTTTGGCCTTTGGAAATGTCAAGTAACATCTGTAATGGAATGAGTTGCATGGGTCTGGGAATGGTGGAACGTCTTGAATTAACCAATCACAATTGTTTATGCCTCCCTAACAGTAGCCGACGAGTTTAACCTCACTCCCTGCTCAGAGAGGACAGAAGGTAAGGCCACCGGTCAGGGACACTAACCTCACACACGCTCCACATCACTGTGCGTCTGGGCATGCTGATGTTTTGGTGGACTTCTAATGGTGTTTGAAAAGATCTTAAACACTTTTTGAGATAAATCTCCGGAGCTCTGTTTCAAAACCTAGTAAAGCAGTCAGCAGCTGCATTATGTTGCCGCCATATTGCACTGGGAGTATATAGTGGGACAAAAAAAATATATATATATTTTTAATTTTCAATAAAAAGCACTATTTTACTATAGTTTATGTGCTGTTAGCTATTCAAGTGCCATTATGATATATATATATGTGTGTGTGTGTGTGTGTGTGTATATATGTATATAAAAAAATATCCTCTAACACTAGCATTCTCTATTCTTTTTCTATTCTTTTGACTTGTTTTATTTTTATAAAAAAAGACTGTGATAGACATAGAAAGCATTGTTTTAAGAATTGATCTAATAGTCCATTTTACCCAGTATGTATTTGTTTTTAGCTTAGCAACATGCTAACTCTATAAGAATCAATAGTGATTTTGGAGATGAGATTCCATTATCATTTAGATGCTCCCTATGCACTATGCAGGCAGTAGACAGCAAGGCGACTCGCTAGGTTTTGGAACAGAGCCGCAGTATTCTTAGAATGACAAATGAACGGCGCGAGACCACCGGTGACGGTGGAAATGAGTCCAGCAACAAGTTTAACCTGCACTTGGAAAAACCCTTCCAAACGCCCCCCTTTGACTTCATGACTCTCCTATCTGCTGTTAACTGTTAGTAATCAATCTAACTAAACGACTGTGTGCGTTGTGCTCGTTAAGGAAGTCATTTGAAGTAATTGCCATCAAATCAGAGGGTGTTGCTTTCTTTTTTTCCCATTGAAATGAAGTGCCATGGTGTTAAATAGACGTTTTGGCAACAACTTTTTTTGGAAAGCGAGGCGCGCTGCCTGTTCTTGAGGGACTATGATGGAAGAAAACATTAATTATGCCGAGGGCTGCTGGAATAGGGAAAGAAACAGAGGTGTGTATGTATGCATGCATGCGTGTGTGTGTGTGTGTGAGGAGAGATTGCTGAAGTTTTGTTTGCTTCAATGTCAGACGGGCCGCTTTGGCTTACTGCAATTAATCCATCAATGTCAGGCGTCTGGAGCAGAGAGTTCCAGTTACAGCGCAGGGAGCACACAGTCATGCTGGGAGATGTGTGGAGACCGGAGGTTCAGAGTCGTGTCCAAAATTCATTCTGTCAAAAAAGTCTAAGCTTTTCTGTGTTAAAGTCAACATGAAGTGCTATTCGCAACCCATTTTATTTCCATTATATGAGATTGAATAGATTTAGGAGTTGCATGTTAAATATATGCAAGTTAAAATAGGAGTTGCATATTAGTCACGTGGCTGGAAATACTCAAATACTTCTTACATTATCTACTTGCTTTCACCGTTTTTACAGTTCACAACCCACTTTTCTAGTAAAAGTGTGCTTAAGCATCTTCCATTGGGACAGTTTCAATTTTACTTGAGTCTTTTTTAGCTGTCTGTCAGTCATAACTTATTATTAAATAGTGTAAAATGATAGTGTGTTTGTTTCAGTGCTATTTTAGTATCCCTGAGATGCTATTATAGTTATGATTAATATTTTGCTAGTAGTTTAGAATAAGGTTCCATTAGTTGACGCTGGTTAATGCATTCATTAATTTTAACTAACAATGAGCAGTGCGTTTGCTACAGTACTTATTAATGTTTGTTAATGTTAGTTAATAAAAACACAACTGTTACTTAATTCATGTTAGCTCCATTAAATAATATTATCAGATACAACTTTTGATTTTAGCAATGCATTAGTAAATGTTGAAATTAAATTCTCTTTAGAAGGGTTTTCCCCCATTGCTAGTTAATGTTAACAAACAGGATCTTTTTGTAAAGTGTTACCATTATTTTTAATTTTGGTTTCACTTTATTTTAAGGTGTCCTTGTTACAGTGTAATTATATATTTAAGTACTGAGTGATATTAATTAACTATACATGTACTTACTATATGGCTAGGGTTAGGATTAGGGTTTGGCTTAATAGTAAGTAAATAAACCTCAAACCCTTCTGGTTAAGAGCGGCTAACATAAAGTCATCTTTGCTTATAACCTTCAAAGTGGCAGTGAGTGATGTCTGACTCTGACTGAGCAGAAATGTGGAAGTGACTCAGCAGATTCTGAGCATCACTGATATCATTACGCCAATGAGACAGATGAAAGTGTCTTGACTGATTGGCTCGTGGCTTTAGAGGTTAATTAGGACAGATGTAGAGGAGCGAGGGACAACCTGGACATCCTCTGGTCCACTAATGATCCAGGACAGGCGGGAATGGAGGGTGATCTAACCCCGAGACTCCTTCAGTCATCCTGGACACAGCAGGACGAAACCTCCTTGGCCGCCGCGGAGCTATTTTTAACCTAATAACCCTTTTAAGTTGATGCATAAAATTACAGATTGCTGAGTAAATTACATGCGATGGATGGCGCTTTCATACGCAAATGCTGGCCTGTGTTTCCTCGAGTATCACTCATGAGGACTTCGCTGGCCATCTTAACAATAGCACGGTTCATCGCTGGAACACTGCTTTGCTTTAGCGTTAAACCGCTCAAGTGCTCGAGATGACTTTGAGGGGTCGATAATTAAAGGCGCTTTATGATATAGATATATCTTCACAGTTATGTCTCGCTGCAT